TCATCCAGGGATTTAGAACCTTTATCTGCTGGGAGTTTTGATATAGCTCACTTCTACATGTTTGATGGTCCAGTTCTTCCCTATGGCCAGGCACCCAGTAATCTTTTTAGTGACCGTTTGTCTGGTGCAGCACCTCCACCTTTGGCTGATATTTCAGTTGGTATGGACTCATTGCAGTTGTCAGGACGAAGAGGACCTGGTGATGGTCGTTGGACAGATGATGGGCAACCACAAGCAGTTTCTCAAGCAGCAGCTATTGCGCAGGCTGTTGAGGAGCAATTCCTGTCTCAGTTGCGCTGTAATGCTCCGCCCAACAATTTGAATGAAAGGCAATCTCAGAATTCTGGAGTGCAGGAAAGGCCTCCATCAGATACCCTTCCATCCAATGATGGTCAAGCAGCTGTGGAGGTTGATAATACTAGCAGTCAACAGGGTCAAGAAAATGGCACTGAAATGGTAAACCATCAACTTAATCCAACCGTTGTTTCTTTAGAGCAAATCAATCCTGATTCTGTTGTTGAAGATGTGGATGAGCGTCCACGGGTACATGAACCTGTTTCAGTTCAGCCTCTCTCTCTGAATGGTACACAAAATGGGCTTGATAACATGGAAGTTGTGGAGGGTAATGGTGCTGCTGCTGAGCAAGAAGAGGCTATTACTGAATTTATTAACCCATCTGTGGGTTGTCATGCTGTTGTAGAGTGCCAAAGGGATATTGAATTGCCTGCTAATTTTCAAAATGTATCTATTCCTGCCACGGGGGATGGATCGTCAAGAATGAACGATCAATCTGGTACTCATGAGCTTTTACTTTCTGGTTCTGAGATGCCTGTTCCATCTGCTTGTCATAGTTCTCCAGTTCATGGAAGTGATGATATTGATATGAATGGTAATGGTGCAGAGGGAAATCTAATTGAGCAATCACCTGCTCAACTTAGTGTGGATGAGCCTTCTTCTGAGCAAAATACACTGATTGCACCAAATGCAAATCAGCCGATCAAGCTAGTATGAGTAATGAGACTTCTGGTACGAATGCTATCGATCCTACTTTCTTGGAGGCACTACCTGAAGATCTGAGGGCAGAAGTTCTAGCTTCACAGCAAGCTCAGTCTGTTCAGCCTCCAACTTATGCGCCTCCTTCAGTAGTTGACATTGATCCTGAGTTTTTAGCTGCCCTGCCTCCTGATATCCAAGCAGAAGTCTTGGCTCAACAAAGGGCACAAAGGATTGCCCAGCAGTCTGAAGGACAACCAGTTGACATGGATAATGCGTCAATCATAGCAACATTTCCTGCTGATTTGCGAGAAGAGGTCTGGATACTAAGCCTTGCTTCTTATTATTAGTTGAGTTGTGTTAACCCCTTCCTTGTTGTTCCAGGTGCTTTTGACTTCTTCAGAAGCAGTTTTATCTGCATTACCTTCTCCATTGCTTGCTGAAGCACAAATGCTAAGGGACCGAGCATTGAGTCATTATCAGGCTCGTAGTTTTTTTGGAGGTGGCCATAGGCTGATTAATCGAAGGACTGGTTTGGGTCATGATAGGCAGACCGGAATGGACAGGGGTGTTGGAGTTACAATTGGTCAAAGAACAGCTTCTGCTATTGCAGACACCTTGAAAGTAAGGGAAGTTGAAGGAGAGCCACTTCTGGATGCAAATGCTTTGAAAGCTTTGATTCGGCTTCTACTGTTAGCCCAGGTTATGCCATTTTCCAATTTAAAAGTCATTCTTTTCTCACTGGCTTTACCTGCCCAAGTGACCATTGGGAGGTTAAAAATCTAAATTCTAGATTCGCCATAAACCAAAGCAGAAGGATGGGCCATAATAGGGACAACCAATTTGATTAGTAGATGAAATTTGAGTTCCTTTTTCTTATTAAAGTTTAAGCATTGATATCTATGTTAAGGGGTATTTCAAGGAGTGAAGTATTTAACATTCTTAATGGTATATCCTGTTCTATTTGTACATGCAGACTACAAATCAGGTTTCCTGAATCTGAACTGCTCTATCTGCCTTCAATAGATATATGTACTGCACTACAATATCTTGTTAAAACTGTAATTTCTGTCTTTATTGTGTATTCAGCCACTTGGGAAAGGCCTTCTGCAAAGACTTTTGTTAAACCTATGTGCACATAGTGTTACAAGAGCAATTTTGGTTCATCTTTTGCTTGATATGATTAGACCAGAGGCTGAAGGTTCATTAGGTGGAGCGGCAACAATTAGTTCCCAGAGGCTTTATGGTTGTCAGTCAAATATTTTATATGGTCGGTCACAGCTCCTAGATGGTAGTACATTCAGCGGTATGATCACAGTTATCGGCTTTCTTTCTTTTCTTTCTTTCTTTTTTTTTTTTTTATTACTGATTTTATCTCTGAGTGTTTTATTTCAACAGGTCTTCCTCCACTGGTGTTACGCCGAGTGCTTGAGATTTTGAGTTATTTGGCAACAAACCATTCAGCTGTTGCCAATATGTTGTTCTACTTTGATCCATCCCTTGTTCCAGAATCTTCCAGTCCCAAGCATTCAGAAAGTACGAAGGACAAAGGAAAAGCTAAAGTTTTTGAGGGAGGTGCTTCAGTGGATTCAGGAGACTGTCAGGACGGGAATGTTCCTCTGATACTGTTCCTCAAGCTCTTGAATAGACCATTATTTTTGCGCAGCACTTCTCATCTTGAGCAGGTAATAGTTCTCTTCCGACTAATTCTCCTTAGAGTGTAATGAGGTGTATTCTTGCTTGAAGTTATACGTCTTATTTTTATGTGATAGCTTGTTATCATAATCTTGCCATCAGTTTCTTTGCTAACTAGGCAATAATATGAATAGTAGTTTCTCTTTTAAGTTACATTGTTACATGTATATCCTATCCTTATGTTGCAGATCATGAGTTTGCTTCAAGTAATTGTTTATACAGCGGCTTCAAAATTGGAGAATCAATTGCCATCTGAACCAATGATGGAGAATTCACAAAAGCTGGCTGTCAGTGAAGCTTATAGTGAAATAAGAAAAGAAATAGAATCTAGTCAAGAGAATAAGAACAAAGGTGCTGAGTTGTCTGTTTTAGATGGGAAGAGGAACAATGATATATATAATATTTTCTTGCAGTTGCCACAGTCTGATTTGCGCAATCTCTGCAGTCTTCTCGGTAATGAGGGGTAAGATGCATTCTTTTGCTTTCTCTAGGTGATTGAATTTATATTGATTTCTTTTCATTTCCATTTTGGAATGCACTTTTTCTAACTGCTTCTGATTCCATTTTTTTCTCCTTTTAATTAACTGCTTCTGTAGCTTTACTTTCGTGGAAAAGTAATTAACCTGTTAAATTGTTCAATTAGGCTATCAGACAAAGTCTATATGTTAGCTGGTGAGGTGCTGAAGAAATTGGCCTCAGTTGCTGTGGCTCATCGCAAGTTCTTTACTACAGAGCTTTCAGAATTAGCTCGTTGTTTGAGTAGTTCAGCTGTCAGTGAGCTTGTTACACTTAGAAACACCCAAATGCTGGGTCTCAGTGCAGGTTCCATGGCTGGGGCTGCTATTCTGCGTGTTCTGCAAGTGCTTAGCTCGCTAACTTCACCTAGTGTGAATGAGAATATGGAGCTGGAGGGTAATGGAGAACAAGATGAGCAAACTACAATGCTGAAGTTAAATGTTGCACTAGAGCCATTGTGGCGAGAATTGAGCGACTGTATCAGTACAACTGAGATACAGCTGAGTCAGAGCTCCTTGTGCCCAACTATATCAAGTACAAATCTCGGAGATCATGTTCAGGGGACTGCTTCTTCGTCACCCCTTCCCCCAGGAACTCAAAGACTCCTGCCTTTCATCGAGGCCTTCTTTGTGCTGTGTGAAAAGCTTCAAGCAAACCAGTCCATCTTGCCGCCTGATCATGCAAATGTAACAGCAAGAGAGGTCAAAGAGTCTGGTGGTAGTTCTGCTTCATTGACATCTAAGTGCGGTGGTGAATTCCAGAAAAAAGCTGATGGTTCTGTAACATTTTCGAAATTCACTGAGAAGCATCGTCGGCTTTTAAATGCCTTTATCAGAACGAATCCAGGCTTGTTGGAGAAATCACTCTCTATGATGCTAAAGGCACCAAGACTGATTGACTTTGATAACAAGCGAGCCTATTTCCGGTCAAGAATAAGGCAACAGCACGAGCAACATATTTCAGGCCCACTGCGTATTAGTGTTCGCCGTGCATATGTTTTGGAGGATTCATACAACCAGTTGCGAATGCGTCCTACTCAGGACCTGAAGGGACGATTGAATGTGCAATTTCAAGGTGAAGAGGGTATTGATGCTGGAGGATTAACAAGAGAATGGTATCAGCTATTGTCGAGGGTCATCTTTGACAAGGGAGCTTTGCTTTTCACCACTGTGGGGAACAATGTAACCTTCCAGCCAAACCCCAATTCCGTATACCAGACTGAACATCTTTCATACTTCAAATTCGTGGGCCGTGTGGTAAATTGCAATGACTATTACAATTCTGAACCCATTGCAATTTGAATCTGGTCATCTGATGTTTTTATGCAATGATTTTGTGCAGGTTGCAAAGGCACTTTTTGATGGGCAGCTCTTAGATGTATATTTTACTCGGTCTTTCTATAAGCACATTCTTGGTGTAAAGGTGACCTACCATGATATAGAGGCTGTTGATCCTGATTATTACAAGAATTTGAAGTGGATGCTTGAGGTTTGTTGAGTTGCTTAAAAAAAATCTTGCCTTTGTGCTTTGTTTTGGTAGACATAATCTTGTATTTTGCTGCGTATATTTTTGTGACATTTCAAATTTGTTTCTCTGTACCATATCTCAGAATGATGTGAGTGATATTCCTGACTTGACATTTAGCATGGACGCGGACGAGGAGAAACACATTCTTTATGAGAAAGCTGAGGTATTTGAAAGCTAGATCACATTCAATCTTAAGTTTTTGCCATACTTGTTTATGAAGTCCTTTTCTTAATCTCATCAATCCTTGGATTTCAATCTGACTTTTTGTGAGGTGCAACAGAAATCTTCTTTTTATTTTTTCTTCAGTTAGTAATAATCTGTTTTGATATTTCATTTTTTTTGCCCAAAAAAGGTTACTGATTATGAGCTGAAGCCTGGGGGAAGAAATATAAGGGTTACTGAAGAAACAAAGCATGAATACATTGATCTTGTGGCTGACCATATATTGACTAATGCTATCCGGCCTCAAATCAATGCCTTCCTAGATGGTTTCAATGAGTTGGTACCACGAGAACTCATTTCGATCTTCAATGATAAAGAGCTTGAGCTACTAATAAGTGGACTTCCTGAAATTGATTGTGAGCTTATTTCCCTAAGAATTATTTCATATACAAAGCCTGTCTGCACTGCTTTAAGAATCTGAATGGTGTTTTTATTTGCAGTGGATGATCTAAAGGCCAATACAGAGTATACAGGCTACACGGTAGCATCTAGCGTTGTCCAGTGGTTCTGGGATGTAGTTAAAACTTTTAACAAGGAAGATATGGCGAGACTTTTGCAATTTGTTACAGGAACATCAAAGGTGATTTTATTCTGTACATATGGTAGTTGAAATTAAATTTTCTCAATGTGAATTTAGGTTCCGTTGAAATTTTGCGGATAAATATGCTTGGCAAAATACCTATTTAAAATTCGGCATTTTGTGCTCCTAGGAAAAGGTCCAAAGGGGAATGAAGCCATTCCCACTTTGCATGATTTTGTTGATGCCAGTTTGTTTCTTTTGTTATTTTTCCTTAAAACTTCCCGTAGGAATTTGAACAAAAGGTTTCTTCATCTGTATCTTCAAAAAATATGCCTTTGGATGGTTTCAAAGAAATTTTAAAGAAAAAAACTAAAATTTAAATGTTCATTTTATTGGCTTGGAATAGGTGCGTGAGGCATGTGCAGTGTACTCAAGTATCTTCAACCATATGCCTTTGCAAAATATGATTCTCACTATGCATGTGAAGAAATGCAGTGTCTTTATGGTGGAGGGATTAACTCTCTAAACTTACAATTTTAAGCCTCTGGACTAATTTTTTGTTACTTTTTCAGGTTCCATTGGAGGGTTTCAAGGCATTGCAGGGTATATCTGGCCCTCAAAGATTTCAGATTCACAAGGCATATGGTGCCCCTGAGCGGTTACCTTCAGCTCATACCTGGTGAGTAGGGATTATTTGATACATGCAATACAGCAGTCAGTATGTTTGTATTTTAGAATCAAATTTCTATATATTTTTTTAAATTGATTTATTTTCTTTTTCAGCTTTAATCAATTGGACCTGCCCGAGTATTCTTCCAAAGAACAGCTTCAGGACCGCTTGCTGCTTGCTATTCATGAAGCGAGTGAAGGATTTGGCTTCGGCTGACAAATTTTTGTTGTTGGAGATTTCACTTATTCAGAGCAGACTGAGTAATTGATCTTCAGATCAACTTGTACATGTCAGTAAGGCATCTTCTCTGCGAGATCCTCATTCTTTATGATTCACTTATTGATCAGAAGTAGGGCTAGATAGTTCCCTGTACACTTTTCTCAGGATATTAGCAAGAGGACTATACCACCTCCATGTTCCCTACATTTTTCTGCAACTTAAATTTGAAATCAACTTTTTTAGCAGGTGCTATAAGAGTGCATAATTATGTTTGTTGAATCACATATCTTGTTGCTGCCCATGTGGAAGACTATTTTGGATTGTGATCTTACATTAGCTGTTGAACATTGCAATATACAATTTTTACTTCCATTATCTTTTCATTTTCTTTTTTCAAATTTTCGAAATTGTTTTATGGGCATGTTGTCTTGACTCATGCTTATATAAGCAAGTTCTTTGGTTTAATGCCTTGGGATGATTAGCTGAGTTGTCCTTTTTGAAATTCCTTGCATTTGCAGATGGTGACTGATTCGGCGGATAGGAATTACAATGATGCAAAGAAAGAACCGAGATGATGGTTGCTTCATCCGGCAGTACAGACAAAGGATAGTTGCACTTTTGCAATCAATTGGGATGCTCTGTATGGAGCTTACCGGGCCAGAGATTGTAATAATTTTTTGTTTTTGGGTTTCTTGCTATCCAGATGGGGGAGCATAGAAAATGTCTATAGACAAATCTTTCATTTCTTTGTCTATATTAGTCTTTTTGTTTCTATTTTAGCTTCCATTTCCAGTAATCTTATATGATCACAGCTTTTTATCTTGAAGCTGCCAATTCCCATTAATATGATCATTCTGTATGGCCATAACACCCTTTTATAATTAGAGAAAGTGTTGTGAACCTTTTGCTACCTCAGAGGTAGAATTTAACTTCCCCTTCTTTTATGTCTACTGGAAATTTAGATATGGTCCTGTCCTCGATAGTCTTTTTGTTTCTATTTTGATTTTTGGATATCATGTTTCATGTTCACCGCGAGCTTGGATAAATTGTATCATCTCCATCCGTTATATGGATATTGGTACCAGTTAGTTAATCGTGGTTCTGGATGTGGATGAGGAGTAAATTGCCAATTGGGCACACAATGTGTAACCTGCGAGCCAGAGAACGAGGAATTTTCATTCTCGTGAGTATCTTTATTTCCATAAAAATTAACTTTTAATTATGGTCACCCTCTTAACTTTTTAATATAATCATAAATATATATATATATATATTTAAAGAAACTATTAAAATATCAAATGTGTAATACAAATGTTTTGTAAAAAAAAAAGATTTGTTTGATGTATGTGTTTAAATTGCTTAATTGAAGAATATTGCAACAATAAAATATTTGTATTTTCCTTAACAAATAGATGTACGATGCGTACAACAAAATCTAGTTTTGTTTGATGTATGTACATTCAATTGTTTAAACTTTATATATATATATATATATCAAAATTTTAAACACCTAAACATTTTTTTGAAATCAAAACAAAAATATTATTAACTAATAGTAAACCACATAAATGTTGTATAAAATATATTTAATTACTTATAGTAATCAGATAATTACAAATAAAATGGAGTGCTAGTTCCTTTTTTCTACTCCGTTCTCAATATAAATGGGTTGAATTTTTTTTTTTTTTTTTTTGCTTTTTTAATTTGAGATCAAGTAGGGTGTTTATTTCGTGTCCATAACTTTGGATTAAAATAAATTTGTTAAACATAAACGTTATATACATTATAAATATAATATTTTAAAGAAGGTAATTATCAAATACCAACTTCTCACGTAGCAAGCACCCATACTTTAGCCTATGTTTACTTTTAATCACTTCCAAGAAAGTGATTTGGGTTCAAAATTTTATTTTAAATAATTTATTACAATTTTGTTTTTTTTTTTTTTAAAGGAAGAACTTCTCATACTACAAATTTTTAAGTTGTGATACGTACAAGTAGAATTTTTCAAAGAGATTTATTTCCAGCATTACCAAACAGTAGACAAGAACTAAGCCCATCAATTGGATATGGAGATTGAAACTATAGCTTTAAAATTTCGAGATTTTAATTTTTTTGGAGGAAAGTTTAATTATTAGGTTTGAGTAGTTAGAAATTTCAGTTTAATTAGTAAAGTAACCTGCTTTATTTTAATTATTTAAACTTTTTTTCCTAAAAGAAGAACAAGACAGGAAAAAATTTCTTTGGGCCTCGAATCGGCTCAAATGGCACTCGGCGAATGAGCCGTATGCTCACATTCAGTATCTGTAACTACAATAGGTCCACATGTCAATCCTGCTTCTTCTTCTTCTTCTTCTTTCTCCTTCCTTCCATGTTCCCAAGCAAAGTGTGACGGAACCCGCATAATGAGAATGAATAAGAGCCGCTGATGTTCTTATACTTGAGTTCCTCTAGAAACAAAAAAATCTTTCTTATCTCCCATGTCGCTTCAAAATTTAGACGCTTTTCTCTCATGGGTTTCTCCAGTTATCCAAAACGGAAGTCCAAAAATGACCATTCAATTGACAGAGCATTTAGCATCGTCACCCGAGCTTCAGGTATCTCTCTCTCTCTCTCTCTCTCTCTATATATATATATATACATATATTTAAATATATATATTTTGTATATTGATATGGGTATGTTCTAAACGCTTAACCTGTTCTGGGTCCAAACAGGGTCGGACATGGAGAAGAGCATATATGCAATTCTGACTATAGACCGTTGGGAGTCACTCAACCATATGGACTACAAGTTGTCTTCACTGAGACCAGTTCATG